CTTCCACTACACCGGTTTTAACATGTTGATATCCATTATACAATGAGAGGATAAACTGTTATTCTAGTAGCTTCCACTACACCGGTTTTAACATGTTGATATCCATTATACAATGAGAGGATAAACTGTTATTCTAGTAGCTTCCACTACACCGGTTTTAACATGTTGATATCCATTATACAATGAGAGGATAAACTGTTATTCTAGTAGCTTCCACTACACCAGTTTTAACATGTTGATATACATTATACAATAAGAGGATAAACTGTTATTCTAGTAGTTTCCACTACACTTTAAATAAAGACCACAATGAATTACCCAACTGAAGGTTTCAAGATGGTAAAGTGTTGAAACACGTAGGGTGGTTTTAGTAAGGACTATAGATTGGTATCATTAAAGATGTCTTTGGTTGCGTAAAGTCAAACTTTGTGTTATTTTGTAACAAATGAGATCTATTCATAATTTGTGTCTGTATACTACGTGGCTTCAGGTAATGATACTCACTCCGAAGTTTGGACAACGGGTGTGATAATGAATACTGATGTAGTTCTTTACAGAGTTTGTTGGCTGGTTTGTGTTCATCATGTAATTATTTTAACAATATTGTTCTTTTCCTTGGTAAAAGCTCATAAGGAAGAAAAGTGATTTTTTATCTCTCCAAAACTTTGTTTTCCAGTTCTTGCCATGTCATGCTTACTTTGTATTACATTTATTAATCTAGAGATGCTGATGGCAAGCATGCTTTAATTGCCAAAACAGATGCTAAAAACAGATTCCTCTTGAAAGACTGTGATCTAGACAAACGTGAACCACCTCTGAAGTTCATTGTGAAGAAGAATCCACATCATTCAACGGGAGATATGAAACTTTATCTGTTGAGTCAGGTGAGTCATAAGGTATTTATACTGATGTGTCAGAAGAGTGGAGTCAGGTATGGGTCATAAAGTATTTATACTGATGTATCAGAAGAGTAGAGTCATGTGGGTCATAAAGTATTTATACTGATGTATCAGAAGAGTGGAGTCAGGTGTGTCATAAAGTATTTATACTGATGTATCAGAAGAGTAGAGTCGTGTGTGAGTCATAAAGTATTTATACTGATGTATCAGAAGAGTGGAGACAGATGTGTGTCATAAAGTATTTATACTGATGTATCAGAAGAGTGGAGTCAGGTGTGTGTCATAAAGTATTTATACTGATGTTTCAGAAGAGTGGAGTCGTGTGTGAGTCATAAAGTATTTATACTGATGTATCAGA